TCTGGAAGATAAAGGTTACAGTTTAGGCTAGGGACAAATAGTTAATACTCTCTGCACTTCTTCCTCATCTGAAATACCAGAGCTACGATGCCACCAAGTTGTTGGTTTTTTTCTGAGTTCTTTAGAAGACTTAATAAAGTATTGTTCCTGAAATGTGACAGACACTTAGACTGAGTATGCTCTTCTCTTCTTCTCTATTCCATTTCTCCCAATTCATCCTCGCAGCCTCCACCTAATGCTGACTGTGGTGTCTGGCATATAGCAGATGCTCACATATTTGCTGGTATGAATTGCAAAGGAGCATTAAGCTAAAAATGCTTCCTTTCTTATCACAGGGACACTTCAGTTTTTTTCCTCCATTAAAAATAGTGTTTACAAAGCCATCCCACCCAAGCCCCCATATAACTGTTGGCTTCCAGAGGCATTGACAATGGGAAGAAAAGGAATCTGTGAATGTAGATTCTGCAATTCCACTTGCATCTAAAGCTGTAACTCTAGAAGCTGCTGTTTTGTTTGGTTCCCATTCTATTCTGTAACAGCAGCAACCTAGTGCTAAAAAGCAGCACAGAAGCATGCAGAATGACTCAAAAGGAACAAAGGAACTCAAGCAGCCTCCCTGGTGATTTAAGGAAGGCAGAAGCAGTCCTGAGAGACCCCTGGAAATTGGTCTCTCCCTCACTACCAGTTCATCCTCACTCTTCTTCTCCTCTTAGCATCCTTCTCTCCTGGTGTCTCTCATAATATCGTCTTACTTTAAATAGGCAATGCATATGTTTGGCTCATAGGCAGTAGAATAAAATATACATAGAGGACACTCTTCTACTCTTAGTTTCTCTTTCTTTTCTTCCCCTGGAAATAGTTGATTTTATTACTTCATTGTTCTTTTGAGAGTTTTTGCAGATATAAAGAAAAATGAATACATACATGTTATTATTTTACAGACTCAAAATGAATGTATGCTCTCTCTCACACACACTCTTTCCCTGTTCGTGTGTGTGTGTGTGTGTGTGTGTGTGTGTGTGTGTGTGTATACAAAAGTGTCCTTTGGTATCATGGGGAATTGGTTCCAAGAACTTACGACCTGAAGATATCAAAATTTATGGATGCTCAAGTTCTGTATACAAAATATTTTTTGTATATAAACAGCATCTATCTATATGCACATCCATCTTTAAATAATTTTGAGATTATTTACAAATCTAATACAATATAAATGCTATGGAAATAGTTGTTACACTGCTCTATTATTTAAAAATAAGAAGAAGAAAAAATCCTCCATGGTTAGTACAGATGATTTTTTTCCTAATATCTTTAAACAATGACTAGTGAAATCCATGAATGTGAAATATGTGACCAACTGCAGGCTGTTTACTTGCTTTCTGTATTGAAACAACTCCTGAGTATCATCCTATGGCAGTGTGAGCTTCTGAATAATTACTGTTGGAAGCATGATATCCCCTGGAAGATGTACATAATTACTCAACTATTCCAGCCCAACAGGCATTGGTAACGTATTATCTTAATAGGTGGCACCTCACCAGCTCCAGATTTACTATGTACTTCCTAAAGGACTTCTAACTTGTAAATCTCACCCCAGAGCGGACATGATTCTTACAATAGAAGCTATGGTTTTATTTGTATTAATATCCACAGCACCTCAATAAGTTCTGAGGCTACAAAACTAAGCAAAATAAAACATGATCCCATTCCTCATATTGGGGCCCTACATATATTGGGAAAGAGAAATAATTTTTATAACTCACACCAATCGCTTCAGAATTATAATAGAACAATCTGTAGGAAGAAAAATACAAGAATTGTAGAATAATAGAAGGGTGATGTATTGTGTTGCAGTGTGAGAAAGGTCAAGACAAACTTTTGAGCAAAATTGGTAATTGAACTCATGATACTGAGAGGTAGAGCATTAGAGTTAGGAAGGTAGGAAAGGAAGGTATCATAGAGAAAGGGAACCAAAGCCCTGAGATTAAACGGAGTTCTGTGCACTTGGGAAAGGAGTTGTTCAGCAGAGATTGTGAAATATTAAGTGTAAAAGTAGCCAAAGGTAAGACTATTTAGGGCATTATAAGAGACTTTGGTCTTTATTTAAGAGCATTGTGAGGCTCAGAAGCCTGGAAGCCAGGGAGAAATATGAATTGGTTGACATTTAAAACAATCACCCTCGTCACAAGGCAGAGAACAGGCAGGGCAGGATATAAGAATCTCAAGCTTGGAGTCAGCTAGTGGTGTTATTGAGCACATGTAAGAGCCTTTTAAAGAGCAAATTGAGACACCTAATGGCAAGCTGACCATGTAAGTGTCAGAGAAAAATTCTAGAATACTGGCTAGAAAAATCAAATGAATAGTGGCTCCTTTGTTGATAATCAGGATTCTAAAAGAGGTCTAGATGTGGGCAGGATTTGTTTGAGGTCCTTTTGAGTAACTATAGAGGAACCTTTGGGCAGTTGGCCATACAGCTTGGGGCTTAGAGAAGGATTCAGAGCAGCAATGCAAGTCTTTTCAACGAAGTGTTGGATGCAGAGGAAAAAGTCTTTAAAAGCAGGAAAGAGAATGAGACTTGGAGAGGGTTAATGATAAGCCCTATGTATGTCCTATGAACAGTGGACAAGCAGAAGGGGCATAGGCAAAACAGGCACAGGAGGGAAAAAGGCAAACAGAGGGAAACTAAGAAAGGGAAACACCTTGGAAGTCGATGGAATGCACAATACCCCTGCCCAGGTCCATCTCCCGTTCACAGAAGCCCCTCCTTCCTCTCCCCCTCCCATTTTTCATACACCGGTATATTGACATCTGCAGGCTCCTTTTCTAAGGGAAGACAGATGTTTAGGGGCCACTTATTTTAGCCCTCTGTCATTTTTTTATGTTCTTCTGAGCAAAAGGGCTGTGTTGCATGCTGCTGTGCTTTCCTGTGTGTGCACCATTATCCTAAAGTGTCATCCTTCATGAGGGCAACACATGTTAGAAATGTGACACATTACAACGCCCACCTGTAAGAGACTTAGATACTATGCTAAGCTGGGGAGTCGACACTTAAATTAGGCGAGATAATGACATGTTAAGCTGAAGGACTCAGACAGCCATGATAGCAAGATACATTCCTTCACTTCCATATTTTTCTAAGTGTCTGCCCACAATTAAACTTCCTTTATCTTATTTTTAGGCCTAACAATAAATCATAAAATCATGCTTATCTTGTTCTGTTTAATAGAAAGATTTTTATGTGTTTATTTATTTATTTATTTTTATGCCAGACCTAGGGCTTGAACTCAGGTTTGTTTGGGGGGGGGCGGTGGGAGGGAGGATTTGACTCAAAGTTAATGTTCTAGTGGTAGTGTTCTACTGCTTGAGCCAAGTTCCACTTCTGACTTTTTTAGTGGATAATTGGAGAGAAGAGTCTCATGGACTTTCCTGTTCAGGTTGGCTTCAAACTGTGATCCTCATATTTTAGCCTCCTGAGTGGCTAGGATTATAGGTATAAGCCATTAGCACCCAGCTTAGGTCCACTAGTTTTCACCTTTTGATTCATTTACTATTCTAAAATTAGGTATTTTCTTTTCAAGATTCTGAAGATATAATCAAACTGTTTTGTTTCAAACTATTTTCATAGAAGCAGAATCCAAGGTTATTGGCATGTAGGTAGCTTTTCCCTACAAAACAAGTAATCAGAGCTAGAGTGTGTGGTTCAGAGGTAAGAGTAATTAACCAGCATGTATGAGGCCCTGTATTCTTTCCCAGATACCATAACAACAACATTCACCAAAGAGAGAGAGAGAGAGAAGGGCAGAGAGAGAGAGAGAGAGAGAGAGAGAGAGAGAGGGAGGGAGAGAGAGAGGAAAGAAAGGAGAGGGAGAGAGAATCACGCATTGAAAAGAGACCACAAATAACAGTCCAACTAAAGCAGGTTAGAAGAGACTTGCCATCTGAAAGGGTTGAGGAAAATAATGAATGACAGCTGGGTACTGGTGGCCCACAACTGTAATCCTAGCTACTCAGGAGGCTGAGATCTGAGAAGATCATGATTTGAAGCCAGCCCAAGCAGGAAAATCTGTGAGACTCTTACCTCTAACAAACTACTCAGAAAAAGCCAGAAGTGGGGCTGTGATTCAAGTGGTAGAGTACTAGCCTTGAGCCAAAGAAGCTCAGGGACAATGCTCATGCACACACACACACACACACACACACACACACACACACACAATGACAATGGTGGAGATGAACTTTACAACTTGGGGTGGGGGTGGGGGGCATTGGGAGGGAGGGAAAGTAGGAGAAAAATGAGAGAGGGGTAACAATATTTGACAAGGAATGTACTCACTACCTTAAGTGTATAACTGTAACCTCTCTGCCCATCACTTTAACAATAAAAGTAAATTTTAAAAAAAACTACAGACAATGAATGGGTAGTAGCCAAATAGACGGAGGTGAGGGGCAGGGGAACAATTTGGTGTTTCCTGTTTCATTCGCTCCCAGAAACCCTCGATTTTGCATATACCTGCCTTGTTCTTTTCCTGCCTATCTAGAGACACTACCATTAATTTCAGAGATTCTATCATAGGGTCTTATTACTCAGATACTCACAAGTAAAATTGCATCTCTAAGGTAGTCAAAAGAATTTTAGCTATATCTAGTCTTCCAAGAAAGTCATATAATGAACAATGCCAATAACAATTATGAAACTAAATTGACCTTATAAGAATAAAAAATCAGTTTTGCCAGTTTATATTCATGGTGACTAATTTCCATATAAATGATCTGGCTTTAGCCAGTCTTAAAAAAATGTGCCTGGGTGCTCTTTCTCTTTCCTTCTGTCTCTCCTTCCCTCCTTCCCTTCTTCCCTCCATCCCTCCCTCCCCCCTCTCTCTTTAATAGCTGCAGTTCTGAAGATGACTGTAAATGGAAATATTCAATTGTCTGAACACATTCACCTGTGTTGCAGTTTTCGAATTATAATATTCATTTATTTTCTCTTTTTTCCCTGGCAGTGTATCAGTTGCAGCAAGAGGCACCTCGTCCCAAGAGGATAATTTGTCCTCGGGAGGTCAGTATCCAGCTATATCCCACACACTTTGTCAAATGTGATAAATTGTCAGCATTGTTGATAATATCGGAAGAATTTCAGGTTTCCTGGGAGTTGATTTCTATTAATGTTTGTTAGAGTGTCACCCAATTTAACATCTTTTTAATCTGTATTTTAAAAGACATGTTATTTTTAAAATACTGACAAGCTAATGTAGAATCAGAAGTCTCACATCTGTAAACATTGCAGAGATAACTTAAACAGCCTTTGAAAGCCCTAAAAAAAGGTACATTCTGTTCATTTTTTGCTGTTGTTACTATTATTGTTTAGATTCTTATGATTATGAAATGTTTCTAGCTGATGAAGTACAGAGAACAATAAGCATTTGCATATTGCCAGCACCTATAGTTAATAAAGGTTTATGATTTGTCATATTTACATAACATTTATAAAATAATATGCCTTTCATGGAATGTTTATATTTTTTAGTCTTAGAGAGATCTGTAAAAATTCATCAACTTGGACTAGGAATGGTGGCTTATATACAAGTTGGAGATTGGTTCCAGGCCAATCTAGTCAAAAGCATTGTGAGACCCTATATGAAAAATGTACTGAAGCAAAAAGCAAGCCTAGGGGCATTGTTCAAATAGTAGAATACCTATTTAGCAACCTCAAAGACTTGAGTTCAAACTCTGGTCACCCCCAAAAGGACAACACAATGACAACAGACCAGCAAATTGTGATAGCCCATTCCTTTGGCTCCAGCTACTTGAGAGCCTAGGGTAACAGGATGAAGATCTAAGGATCAAAGCAAAAGACTCATACTTGAAAAATAAGCTAAAAGCAAAAAGACTATGGACATGGCCCAAGTGGTAGGAGTACTTCTCCAGCAAACATGTGGCTTAGTTCAATACCTAGGTCTGCCAAAAAACATACATAAATGTCCAATATTATAGATATGCATATATATTTAGGTACACTCATAAAAATTCTGACCAGCCTATAGAAGTTTTACCTGTTATCATTCATGAATCAGTTCTCAAACCACCAGGTGGCTTGAAAGATCTGAAAGGTAAAACTAAGGCTGCATTTTCTATTATTATTCTGACCAATTTTTTAATAGCCACAGTCGTATCCTTCAACTCCAATGCCCATGAGTCTTTGCTGCTCTTTATTATTACTTTGATTAACTATAGAGTAGCAGACAGCTTTGAAGGTGCAGTATCGGCTCCATCAAAGGGGAAGGCTCCAACTCCAACTCTCCTATGACTTATTCTTGATCATCAGTACTTCCTGAGCCTGGTTTTGAACCTATTTCTAAAATTTGCTACATACCCAGGATTAGTAAACTTTGTTCCTAAAACTTTTACTTTTCTACAAGGGTACTAAAATTCATCAAGTAATTTTATTTTTTTCAAATTTTTTATTGTGATTAAGTGGTTACATAATTTCCCAAATTTCACAGTATTGTGGGATAGTGATGCTCAGTTAAAGTCACAAACACATTCTAACTTTCCTGGAGCAAATTGTCTATCACGGTCTATAACATTTATGAGTTCTATGAGCTTTGTGATACAGTTATTTCTTCCACATTGGGTAATATGGACATTTCTTTTGTTTTGCATAGCGTCAGCTGTTCCCTCTTTCCCACTCATTCCCTCCCTCCCCTCACTGCCATTGTGTTGCTTAGTTCATTTTGGTCAATGTTCAGTGCAGCTGATGGGTCTCGCTGTTACGTTTTTCCCTGATTCCCTCTAGTTCCATACATGTGATCAGCAGCATGGGGTTATTTAGTAGTGATTTGACCAGATGAGTGGAAGTCCTTTGTTTCTTAAGTCCTGTTATATTTGTCATATCACCTAACATTTTGGATTTAACATCCACTTATCAGGGAGACCATGTACCATTTGTCTCTTTGCTCTTGGCTTACCTCACTCAACATGATTTCTTCTAGCTCCATCCATTTCCCTGCAAATGCCATTATTTTGTCATTTCTAATGGCTGCATAATATTCCATTGTGTATAGATACCACAATTTTTGGATCCATTCATCTGTGGTGGGACATCTGGGTTGTTTCCATATTCTGGCTATTGTGAACAGTGCTGCAATAAACATGGAGGTGCATGTGTTCTTGTATACTGGTTCCTGTTGTTCAGGATAGATGCCTAGAAGTGGTATGACTGGGTCAGAAGGGAGGTCAATATTTAGCTTTCTGAGGACCCTCCAGACTGCTTTCCAAAGTGGTTGTATAAGTGTACATTCCCACCAGCAGTGTAATAGGGTTCCTCTTTCTCCGCATCCCCTCCAGCATTTGTTGTTGGCTGACTTGAGAATGTGGGCCATTCTGACTGGGGTAAGGTGGTATCTCAGGGTTGTCTTTATTTGCATTTCCTTCACTACCAGGTATGGTGAACATTTCCTCATGTGTGCCATTTTTATCTCTTCATCTGTGCCATTTTTATCTCTTCATCTGAGAAGTCTCTCTTTAGTTCCTTTGCCCATTTAGTAATTGGTTTGTTAGGTTTGGGAGGGATTAGTTTCTTGAGTTCCCTGTATATACTGGATATTAACCCCTTGTCTGATATATTGCTGGTAAGTATGTTTTTTTCCCAATAGTTGGTTGTCTTTCTAGCTTGGTTGCGATAGCTTTAGCTGTGCAGAAGCTTTTTAGTTTAAGGTAGTCCCATTTGTTGACTCTCTCTCCAATTTGTTGTGGCCCTGGGACTCTGTTCAGGAAATTCCTGCCTGTGCCTATAAGTTCAAGTGTCTCTCCTACTCTGTCCTGCAGTAGTTTCAGAGATTTAGGTTTAATGTTAAGGTCTTTAATCCATTTTGAGTTGATGTTGGTGCATGGTGATAGGCTGGGGTCCACTTTTAGTTTTCTGCATGTGGCTGCCCAGTTTTCCCAGCACCAGTAGTTGAAGAGGCTGTGTTTCTTCCATTGTATGTCTTTGGCTCCTTTGTCAAATATCAGCTGGCTGTAGGCATGTGGATTTATTTCTGGATCTTCTATTCTATTCCATTGGTCTTTGGGTCTGTTTTTGTGCCAGTACCATGCTGTCTTTCATCAAGTAATTTTAATTCAGAGTAGACTGGACCTTTTCATACCTGGATTATCACTGAAGAGGAATAGATACTTAGTGATTATATTAAAAGAACAGAATAAGTTACAATATATTTGGTAGTTTTATCTTGACATTAACTCATTTTTTTCAAATAATTAAAATAGGCTAAATATATGTATTTATCTGAAATAAATTTTTTTTCCCAGTGAGACTGATAAAAGAAGTTACTAAAAGGTTCTTCACTCTTACTTTTTATTTAGTGTTTCCACCAGAAAAATTATCAATACATATAGGGATATGAGATTTCAGGTCTCTCAAGGAAATGAGTATTTGTAAAAATAGAGTATAACTAGGAACTCTATGTAGAGGTATTAACAAAAGTTCTCTAGGCAAGTTTAAGCTCCAGAGCTTGCAATCCAAGGAAACAACCAACAGTCCTTCATTTGTTCATCTATTTTGCTAACTTTCATGGAATGGTTGCTTTGTTTTATCATTCAGAGGTAGGGTAACTTTTTCTTTGCCAAGGGCCATTTGGATGTTTATAACCTCAAACATGGGTTAGGCAAAATCATCAATACAGGCCTACAGCCACAAGCAAACAATGAGAAACATATAAGAAGCATATGTAAGTCTCTTTCCAGGTACCAAATGATTTTTGTGGGCTTTATTTAGCCCATGGCCAGGCTTCCTCACACCTGGATTTAGATGTTAGAAACGTAGCAAACAACTCGGCCATTGTCATTTTGAATGTCATAATAAAAGAAAACAAAACTGAAATGTAAATGAATGTATACTTAAGGTTTTATTTCTGTGAGGGGTGGGGAGGGGAGGAAGGAAGGGAGTCTGGGGGAGGGAGAGAAGAGTATGTGTGTAGAAAGAACCTTGTTGAATCTTTTTGTTCCTCAAACTCTTTGTCCTTTGTAATAGTAGCAGAGTGGATGGATTAAGATTCTCTTCATAGAAACCCTTCCTTAAGGTCAAGTGAAGCGCTTTAGACATCCAGGGATGAAGGTCTATCATGTATTTAACTCTGCATGGCCATCATTCTCTGTTATCATCAAATAACATGCTGCATGTACAGCTTTTCCTCCCCTTTGTCTGTCTTTTAAACAAAGCAACCAAGCTTTTAACCTTTCTACCTTTACCAATTTGACACATTAAGAAGTGATGCATGGTTGATGCTTGATCCATAGGTAGTTGACCTCTAGAAACTCCGTCTCCCGTTTCTTTCACAAAACCTTATATGAACAGAATATTCATGGGCTCCACTTCCTCAGCAGGAAGCATCAGGTCCATCCAGCCAGGCAGGTGTCAGGTGACAAAGGGTCAACTTTGCTGGAGGAACAGGTGCAGCTTAGAGAAGTGCCAGCAAGTGCAGCCTGGGTTCACATTGTTCTCTGGTGTGATGTTAACTGCAAGTGATTCCTGCTTAAATTGCTGTGCCCCTAGGACTTGGCCATCTGCCAGCGGAGCTGCTCCCTCCTCTTGGATTCTGGGGAAAGCACTGCTCCAGTTGCAGATGGCATTTAGGCAAATGCCTAACACACCAGCCTGCTCAGGGTTCAGACTTAATGAGGACAGAAAGCTTTCCCATTCAAACATGTGGGCAGATAGATTAATGCTTTATTAGGACTTACACAAAGCCATATATGCTACTCTTTTGAACAGTGAATTATGATTCCTTTTGTTTGAGTGCCAGTGATTAGGCCTTGAACTCAGGGCCTGGGCACTGTCCCTGACTTTTCTGCTCAAGGTTGGCCCTCTACCACTTAAGGCATACCTCTATTGGCTTTTTGCTGGTTAATTGGAGATAAGAATCTCACAGATTTTCCTGCCTGGGTAAGCTTTGAACCATGGTCTTCAGATCTCAGCTTCCTGAGTAGCTAGGATTCCAGGTATGAGCCATTGGTATACTGTTAAATTACGATTTTTTAAAATGATTTTTCTGGCTCTAC